TTGTCTTCTCGAAACTGGGTAAAATTCTCTTTTGTTGGTTTTCGATCAGTTTCTAATTCTTGAGATTAAAAAGACGAACAGCTTGTCGGCAGTATATCGGAAATTTATTTTCATTGACGTTTCATCGGCCAGCGGCATCACGCAGCAGAAGTAAAAGTACCGTGGCCCACGTCGGTGGTTTGGCAATTATATTTACAGGCAAAATGTCATTTTACAAAGTTTGTAACTTTTATGTACATTTTGTAAATATTTTTTTTACATTTTGTAGGATCAAACATTGTGAATATACTGTAAAATCAATTTACAAATCATTTTAATCACAAATAGTTTATAGAAGTATATCTTGTCTGTAAATTAAAAAAAAAATTTACAGACTCCTAAAAATTGATGAACTTTTCCAGTGTACTGCGTACTTAACCAGATTTGACACTTTACTCYACCATTTTCACCTTAGAGAGTTGTATCCAGTCCCAAAGTGTATKGAATCAAGCAATAATCCAGTTTCGAATTCTCCAATGCTCTGTGTGTTACCCTCATTTGTGCGCAAAATATTCCTAATTGTGAGAATAAAAGTGTGAGATTTCAAATCAATTCTATTGTCTTTCTTTTCAAATTCCATGCGTTTTCTCGGCCTATCATGAAACAAAATAATATTTTGCTTGGTTTTGAGGCTAACACAAAGCAAAACAGAACTCGAAAACGGAGTATTGATCACCACGTTATGTGTCATACCGTGMTTCAGATCGAGTCTTATTGAGGATCAGACTGAGTACATAACCAAGTGTCCATCTCATCACCATCACATGTTTTAGACAACCAATCATAACGCGCGCACATATAACACGGCAACTGATTGGTCCTTAATTGTTGATCTACTTCGATAGCAAACAAGAAAAAGGAAAATGTTGTCGATGGAGGCCTGAACAAAGTGAATCTTGCATACGAGAATTTTACCCCTTTTGCGAAACAACCATTTCTGAATTTGATAGAAAAGACATTCTTTCCTATATGAGCAATGTAGCAAAGGTAGTTTAAGAGCAATATGGTCAGCGAAAACTGGGAAAAGTTCAGACAAAGATGGAGAAAAATGTAAAACAGCGTGTGAAAAAAGTATAGTCTAAAGTAGCTTCCTTACAGTCAAATAGAGCTGGACTTAAACAAAGCCAAATGTTAAGTAATTTTCGACAGTTAACCTGAGATAGCGGGGGTTTGTTTTGAAAATCAAGCCGGTATATCGATGTCTTTGACGTCTTTTCTTATTTGTGGCTAGTTTCATAACTTACATCTTGTGTTTATCGTATAGGCATCTTTTTCGTCTTAAATTTCCCCTTTTCATTAAGCTATTTAGATCATAAATTACCTTTACTACAAGTCTATGTATAGATAAGGTCTTTTATTATATATCAAGTGTCAAAGTTCACTTTTCCCAGTATCTTATTGGTCGAGAGTGTACCACGTGAAAGTCACAAAATTTTACTGTTTCCCGGCAACTGTCC